CTTCCTAAGTGTAAAACCTTCCTTTTCTCTCACCTTGAATTAGTTGGAGTTTGTTACATTGGATTTCACGGTGTGTTAGAATTCAGAGGCTGCTGAAAATGGGGTGGCATATAAAATTAACACAAGGGACATGGGGGCTTGGTGGCTAAGACGCTGAGCTTGTCGATCAGAAAGGTTGGTAGTTTGGTGGTTCGAATCCCCAGCGCCGCGTAACGGAGTGAGCTCCCGTTCCGTGTCCCAGCTTCTGCCAAACTAGCCGTTCAAAAGCACGTTAAAAATGCAAGTAGGAAAATAGGGACCACCTTTGGTGGGAAGGGAACAGCGTTCCATACACCTTCGGCATTTAGTCATGCCGGCCACATGACCCCGGAGATGTCTTCGGACGGCGCTGGCTCTTGGGCTTTGAAACGGAGATGAGCACCGCCCCCTAGAGTCAGGAACGACTAGCACGCATGTGCAAGGGGAACCTTTACCTTTACCTTACCCCATGCCTGAAGGGCTGGTTTAAGGCAAACAGGACCCACCTACCAGCCCCATGGCAGCAGGGAGGGAGAAATGGTGCATCTAATGGATGCTGAACTACAACTCCCAGAATTCCTTGCAAAGCCAGCCCTGGAGGCAGAATTATAGGGCATACAATACACACACACATTTTTCATGTCTGAAAAATGTCTATGTGTGTCGGGCTTAGCCAGGAATACCTTTTTTTTAAATCAGGGTTTGTTGGGCTGGCCCCAAAGGGTCAAATTTGGGACTAATTCTAGACTATAATAGTTGGGTTTAGGCATTATTCTAAGCCAGCATTACTCAACCTTGCTCACTTTAAGAGGGGTGGGCTTCAACTCCCAGAATTCCCCAGGCAGCATCCTTTAAGATGGGTGGACTTCAGTTCCCAGAATCCCCCAGCCAGCTTGCTTTAAGACAGGGCCCTTCTCCTACCCCGAACAGCCCTGAGCCCCCCCCCTTTGCCCCTCCTCTCTTCGCTCCAGGCCCGCTGAAGGCGGAGAAGCTGTCTTCCCCGCCCCTCTTCGCCGCCCACTGCGAGGATGGCCACCTGCATTACGAGGGCGAGATCTACGTCAAAGGGGAAAGCCTCTTCCTGCAAGTGGGGGACGAGACCCCCGTCCAGTGAGTTGCAAAGAGAGGGTGGCAACCGTGGGGAGATCAGCCAGCTCTGCTTGGTGGGGTTTCGGCCCTCCCATCTCCCTGCCTTCCTCCCTCCCTCCCTCCCTCCATTCCTCTCATCTTCCTTCCTTCCTTGTTTTTTTTCTTTCCTTAGAGATTCTGATCTTCATTTCACAAAATGCTTCCAAGCCATTTCGGATCAGGAACTTTTAATCGCTCTTTCATCTATTTCTAAAGAAAATAAGTCTATTCTATTCTATTCCTATTCTATATTTTCTCTGTTCTATTCTATTCTATTGTATTTTCTCTATTCTATTTATTCTATTCTATTTTCCCTATTCTATTCCATTCTATTCTATTTTCTCCAATCTATTCTATTCTATATTCTATTTTCTCTATTCTATTCTATTGTATTCTCTTTATCCTATTCTAATTTTCTCTATTGTATTTTATTCTATTTTCTCTATTCTATTCTATTTTCCCTATTCTATTCCATTATATCCTATTTGCTCCAATCTATTATATTAATTATATTATATTATATTATATTATATATTTTCTCTGTTCGATTCTATTGTATTTTCTCTATTCTATTTATTCTATTCTATTCTATATTCTATTTTCCCTATTCTATTCTATTCTATTCTCTTTATCCTATTCTAATTTTCTCTATTGTATTCTATTCTATTTTCTCTATTCTATTCTATTTTCCCTATTCTATTCCATTCCATTCTATTCTATTTTCTCCAATCTATTCTATTCTATTCCCATCTTCCTTCCTTCCTCCTCCCTTCCTTTCTTTCTCCCTTTCATTCCCATTCTCATCCTTTTATTCCCATTCTCATCCTTCCTTCCATCTCCCTCCCTCCCTTTCTCCCTTTCTTCCTTCCTCCTCCCTCCATCCCTCCCTCCCTTCATTCCTTCCTCTCTTTCATCCCCCTTCCTTCCTTCCTTCTTTCCTTCCTTCCTTCCTTCCTTCCTCCCTCCCTCCCTTCTTCCCTTTCATTCCCATTTCCTTCCTTCCATCTCCCTCCCTCCCTTCTTTCCTCCCTCCTTCCCTCCCCCCTCCCTCCCTTTCATTCCCATATCCTCTACAGGTTGTCCTCAACTTACAACAGTTCTTTTAGTGAACGTTCAAAGTTAGAACAGCACTTGGAACAAAATTGACTTATGGCCATTTCCCACCTTTTGCAACTATCGCAATCCTCCCCACGGTGGCGTGATCTAAATTCAGACACTTGGCATCTGACTTGCAGTTATGACGGTCGCAGCGTCCCCTGGAGTCACCCGATCTCCTTTTGCGACCTTCTCACCAGCAAAGCCGACGGGGGACGCCCAGTTCATTTAAGGAACGTGTGACTCACTTAACAACTGCAGCGATGCCCTTAACGGCACACAGGTCGTAAAAAGGGGGGGTGGGCAAAGCTCCCTTCACGACTGTCTCGCTTAGCGACAGAACCTTGGGGCTCCTTTGTCGTACGTCGAGGACTCCCTGCACTGAATCTGGGCTGAATTGATGGGGAAGCTGGACCTCCGGGGGTCTTAATTCTCAACTGAACTTCTTTAGTTAATTCTCAACCGAACTTGTCTAAACTTTCTTTCTTCCTTCCGTCCCCCAATTGTGTCTGGTTTCCCAGGGCCGTCATCACGGCCATCAGCACCGGTGAAGTTTGGCTGCGCCGAGAAGACGCTAGCAAAACCAAGATCTACGTTTCCCAACTCCAAAAAGGCAAATATTCGGTGCATAAGACTTAATGTGTCTCGTGTGGTGGAGACTGGATGGGTGGGCCTTTGACAGCCCCCCCCCCTTCTGCCACCTCCAAAATCAACCCGGAAGGAAGGAGACTCCGTTGCTTACAGGCAGCGTCCCCCAAGCCTGTTCGGACGGAGGCTTACCAAAAAATGGAAATATTTTGCCGAGAACGAAATGGGTTTTTTTTCTTTTTCCTTCCTCGTGATACCGGATGGTAGGCCTGAAGTTTAATTTTGTTGTTTTTTTTCCTGCATTTTTAAATGTACTTCTCCGTGGCACCCCAAAAAGGAGAACGGAAGCCGGTAGAGAGGGAAAAAAAAAAAACGTCTGGAAGAAATTTCAAATAAAGCACCGGAATTTCAAATAAAGCACCAAAGTTGAAACTCTTCTCTGCATTCCATTTTTTTTAAATTGCAGGTAATTCTGAGCTGAACATTTTTATCGAGTTATAAAGTATTGTGGAATAAGGTAAAGGTTCCCCTCGCACATATCTGCTAGTCGTTCCTGACACTAGGGGGCGGTGCTCATCTGTTTCAAAGCCGAAGAGNGTTTATACCCTATATTTGCTCTGAGAGGTTGGGGGGCGGGAGCTGGGTTCGGGCAGGGGGAGGTATATATTTGTAAAACTTTTTTAAAACTTTTAATAAAAAAAAATTGAGGGAAGCCGGATTCACTTAACAACGGCGTTCCTAATTGAACAGCCGCAGGAATTCGCTTAACCAACGCGACACAGACAATTGTCAAAAGGGGCAAAACTCATTTCAGAAATTTCTCCCTTAGCAACATCAGTTCTAGACTCGGTTGTGGTCGTAAGTTGAGGACTTAACCTGTGTTCCAAAATTAGCATCCAGGCGTTGTTCGCTCTTACAGTTGGACCATTTTCTGTCCGTCTTCCCTTCAGGCATCGCTCAACGCCGCCATGCCTGTTCAGCCTCTGCCGAAGGAGATGGAAGGGGAAGGGGATTCAGCCACGGAAATGAACGGCGAGGAAGAGACCGAGGATGAACGCAGCGCCAGCCAGTCGGAATCCGAAGAGGAGAGTTCAGGTAAAACGTCAGGGGAGGGGAAACTGAGGCTCGGCTACTAAAATGCAGCCCAGAATCTTAAAAGTGAAATTTAACGACTGGATTAACTCTACAGCAGGAGTGCCGCAACCTTGTCAGCTTTAAGATGGGTGGACTTCAACTCCCATAAGGCCCCAGCCAATCATGCAGAACTATACAGAACTAAAAACCAATTAATCCAAGCCAATGTATAATGTATAATCAACCTCATGCTGGCTAGAGGATTCTGGGAGTTGAAGTCTGCCCTTCTTAAAGCATGCAGACTGAGGGATTCTGGGAGTTGAAGTCCACCCCTTTTAAAGCATGCTGGCTGGAGGATTCTGGGAGTTGAAGTCCACCCCCCTTAAAGCATGCTGGCTGTGGGATTCTGGGAGTTGAAGTCCACCCATCTTAAAGCATGCTGGCTGTGGGATTCTGGGAGTTGAAGTCCACCCCTTTTAAAGCATGCTGGCTGTGGGATTCTGGGAGTTGAAGTCCACCCCTCTTAAAGCATGCTGACTGGAGGATTCTGGGAGTTGAAGTCCACCCCTTTTAAAGCATGCTGGGTGGGGGATTCTGGGAGTTGAAGTCCACCCCTTTTAAAGCATGCTGGGTGGGGGATTCTGGGAGTTGAAGTCCACCCCTTTTAAAGCATGCTGGGTGGG